TGGCGTCTTGACACGGCTACAGACATCGCACACCTGAATTTAGCGGCGAACGTACGTCTGCATGCCTGGACACAAGCGCCGAGCAAATGCCAGCGCTCGTCCGGGATTGCCTAAATCGATCGAGTCATGACGAGAATAAAGGATGTCAGCACGCATAGGTGAAGGAATGAACAGGGGACCATTGTGGAAAACGAGATTGCCTTCCAGCGCGAAGTCCGTGTGGCCACGAGAGATCGCTTCGCGCCACTCGGTGTTGTTGCGGATCGTGGCTTGGTACCGACCGAGCTGCTCTGAGTTGTCGAGAGCGAGCGTCGTCAGCGGCGAGACTTGCTGTGGACTACGTGAAGCGTTCAATGCCGATGCCTCGTCTGGAACGAGACGTTCTCTGTGCATAGGGTGTAGAACCTTTTTTTGGAGGCGGAGGACGTCATCCCCCTCTCGAGGCACGAAATCGGGACGTCGCGAAGGAGCATCCACAGGATTTTTGATCCCAGGCGCGCAATCCAGGTGGAAGTCAAATTCCGACAGAAACATACACCAACGCGCCTGTCGGCGGTTCAAAATGCGAGGAGACATGATATATACCAAATTTATGTGGTCGGAGAAGACGACGACCGGCTCAGCGGTGCCTTCGAGTCACGCGCGCACGTCTCGGAACGACGCGACGACGGCAAGAAGTTCTTTGTCGTGCACGTCCTAATTGATCTCCGCCAGAGAGAACTTGCGAGAGAAGCACGCCACTGCATTTAGGAACCCTCGAGCGTCTGGCTGGTGCAGGATATCTGACTGGCATAGCAAAGTCGGAAGCGTCAGTAGCCAAGGTGCACGAGAGAGACGGATCGTAGTGACGGAGAACGGGAGCCGAGGTGAAGACACGCTTCAGCCGTTCAAAGGCGTCAGCGGCCTCTGGCGTGAGCACAAACGACTTGCATTACGGTCCTTGCGCGTGAGCGCGTTGAGCGGGAGGACCGTGTCAGCGTAGTAGTCGATAAAGCGTCGGTAGAGGTTGGTTAATTCAAGGAAGGACTAGACATCCTTGACCGATTGTGGAGCGGGCCAGTCCGCGGTCGTCGAGAGCTTGCTGGGGCCCATCATGGTGCCATACGAGCCAAGATATTCGACTTCAGACCGGTCGAACTCGCACTTCTTCGCATTAGCGAAGAGGCCGGCGCCCTCGAGGCGCTCGAGAACCACCCGGACATGTCGGTCGTGCTCTTCCTGATTCTTGGAGAATGGGTTGGTGCCACAGCACGACAAATCGAGTCGCTGCCGGGCCCAATGAATGGCGGGGTTGTGGCGTTGCAGCCAGTCGAGACCGAGAATGACAGAAAACGGGACAGAAACGAGGCCAAGAGAAACGTCTTCATAATGCTTTTGAACAGACAATGACGTTACCACATCGTCGGTGATCAGGCCAGACGCGATCGGTCGATTGTTTACCGCCGTAATCGGTATGTATCGGCACGTCTTTGGGACGACGCGGGAGAGCATGGCGGCTCGCGAAGTCGAGAGAAATGCAAGAGCCCGTCGCGCCGCTATCCACGAGCACGTCCGTGCGGACAGGCTTGCGATCGGGAAAGGAGAGAGTAGTCCGAAGACCACGGGTTAGGGTAAACGTGCGAAGAGAGTTGGAAACAAAGTGAGCTAGCAGGCTTGGGTATCCACACCCCGTTTACTGAACGGACGTGCGTAGGTCCCCGCGACGGGAGCCTGAGTCCCTGAAGATCCCGGAAGCCCCGGGACAGGCGAAAGATCTCCGGCTAGGCTTTTCTCGAAGAGGGAGCACCCTTAGCCTTCTTCTTGGCGTTCTCCGCCATATTAAGACAATCGAAGACGGTGTGCTTTCCCTCGACGCAGTAAGTAGAAGAAGAAATCATTTTTGCGGCGATACCCCTTCTCTACTGGGGTCAGCGGCCCGGGACCGCGTCAAATGGCGTCGATCTCCATCGGAACAACGTCATTGTTTGACGGTGTGCTTGCGGACATGACGGGCGCCGGAGCGGATGACGTTGGCCGTGCCGACAACGAGAATTCATGCTGCTTTGCAGTGAAAGCGAGTGCTTACCAGTAAGAAACCCTCTTGTCATGCTCCCATGGATCTTGTTGTCAGCATCAATCACAATCTTGGTCCACGCCTCGAGTGTATCCGGACGGGACACAGTAATCAGGGTCTGCTTAACAGTGGGCTTGAGACCCTGATCGAACATCGCGATCTGCATGTAGTCAGACATGTCGACAAAGGGTAGAAGCTCCTTGAAGCGGGAAGCAAAGCTGGGACAGGCCTTATCAACCTGGTTACTGTCCTCGAAGCGCTTTTTCAAAACGCGTCTTTGAAACGCGACCTGTCGCGCAGCAACTCAGGTTGCGCGCGCTTGACGTCGTTGTACCAGTAGAGGAATGAACCATCCTTGAGATACATGGACAGAATAAGCGCAACATTCTGACCTTGGGGTCAATGTCCCAGCGGGTTTGCAGGGCATTTCAAAACCTGCTGTGTCACGATCACGCCGGACGTCTCTATCAAAGTCGCGTGGCACCCCATTACAGCGCGAATAGAAGTCCTGCTTATAATGATTTCTCGTGTACGTCAGAGATATTGTGACTCATTAGTATGCAATATAATTCTTGGTGTCGCGCTACAGTCAAGAGGTAAGAGAATAAGCACAACATACCAACAAGCATGCTCAGGCTAGTATTACTGCTGCTTTTGAGTCAGCGGTGTGCGATGCACTTGTAACCTAAGGATAACGTTCGAAGGAGCCGCCTGGCCGCGTTTGTGGGTAATTGTAATGGGTATGGTTCACCTGCGCTCGTGCTTCTCGATGTCTCGCGCCCACCGCTAACTTGAAGGCCATTTTGAATGAAGCGGTGTTTTGCACCGACGTCGCATTGCTCTTTAACAATGTCAGCAGCGCAACGCAGCAAGCGGACATGTTCGTCCACGTCCACGTCATCTTCGTCATCAAGCTGGAACAGACATTGTGGGACCGTGTCAGTGTTGGCGCACAATCACAATTGGGTGGCATTTCTTACCGTAAAGCCCGCGCTTCCGCGCAACAAGCCGTCGCGTCCCGCAGGCAGCGGTCTATTAGGTGAGGAATTTATCTGTAGGTGTAGCATGCATGAGTCCGAGTCATGTAACTGTACAGTTCGCGTTGACACTCACCGGTGAGGACCTGCTAGTGACTGTCAAGGCCGGCAGCACCGAATCAGAGTCTTTCGTTCCTAATTTCTCTGAAGTGTCCGCCTGCGCCTGAGACTCGGATGCGCGGGACATGCCAGTTCTCAATGAACAACGGGGAGGCTCGACGTCTGTGAGTGCTGTGACGCATGCTTCGAAAACAGCCGTATGATCGTCAGTCGATGCGCAGGTCCTTTATTCGCGCTGTACAGTGTAAGTAAGTAATGGGGCGCGACGACGCCGCCGCACGCGACCTAGAGACGTCCGGGGCGATTGCGCCACAGCCGCCACAGCGGGGCTTGAGATGCCCTGCAAACCCGCTGGGACATGTTCTACAGTTCGAATGTCGCACGGAGTTCGCGCAGAAAAGAAGGGACTTGGTCAGAATTACCTGAGAACATGCGCGGGGCACGCTTGTTGACATTAGGACCAGATCCCCCGCTGCTCCCGTTGCCCTGAAAGGACACGGTGACGTTGAGAGCCTGAGGTGACGTGGCCACGACGGTGAGATCTTCGACGCGCTCGGTCATCGCGAAAAACGCGTTGTCCAGTTGTGCTTGGTTGTTTGAGAGCTGTTTGGCATGTCGACAGAGAGCCTCAAGTGCTCAGCAGAACGCCTGGGCTGGATTTTTGGGGACAGGGGTAGACTGCGGCGGTGGTGGAGCGGTCTGTTGTTGACCAGGGCGATCGCCAGGACCACAGCCGTCAAAATCCTGGCTTGTGTCGAAGATTTATATGGTAGGTCAGATAGTAGAGCCTTTGCGAGCTCGAGTACTAGGCTAGAAGCAACAAAGGAATACCAGATAAGATTGATGAACTGGCGCTCAGACAGCCTGAGCTATCCAAGGAATAGAGGGTGTCGCCGGAGAACTAGTTACAGTCAATGAACAGCTCAGAGTGACCTGACATGCATTGAAGCCACCTTAGAGTACCTACTCCGGGGTGTGCCTTTCCACACAGTAAGTTCGATCGTGTTAACGAGTACATATTCAGTCGTAGTCCTCTTGGTACTCGACTGAGGTGCAATTACTCTACTCGCGCGCTCTTGCGCCTTCCACAGAGTCATGTGTCCGCGTCACCGTCCTGCGTCAACAGATCAGGCTCTAGAGCGGGGAAAGCTTCAGGTTTTACCTGCGCAAGCACGCGATAATTATGGTGCTGTATCTTTAGAATGCGCCGGTGCACAACGAGGTTATCTGCTATGCAATGCCTCCACCGCGCTAGAAAGAATTAAGGCCAAGCATCAGCGGCGTGGTACATCGTCTTCGATATGGGGGTAACAGCTTTGCAGCAACGCGCCGTAGTCGCCTTCCATGTGGGTACCGCAGCTCACCCGTTACCCCACAGGTCAGGGCACACGTTTTGAGCTGGGCTGCGCCCCACACACATTCTATCTCTACCTCACATCCTGTTTATTCCACTCGCGTCCACTTAACTAGGACCTCGCTACGAGTCCGAGCTGGACAGTAATCAATCGCGCCATAACTGGTGACCGAGCCCATGTATGTATTGAGTTTGCATTGCGTCCCAGTACATAGACTACCTGTCAGGCAGCCAAACGAGCTGACGAACCGTTGAGTTGCAGCCGAACGCACGGGCGCTCCTCGATCGCACTCGATCGCACGCAAATCGTGTGGGCGCTAGCGGGTCGCGTCCAATCGCACGGGCGCTCCAGCGCTCAACTTGCGCTCGCCTCTCGTATCCTGGCCCACGCTCCTCGTCAGTACAACACTCTCTAGTTGTGTTGGCCTTTGTCGCGACCCTTGCTACAACACGCACTCCTGTCGCGCCCCTGACAAATCTCTCCAGACCATCCGCAATGACCACGAACACCCGCGTGTCGCTCCCCGCGTGTCTTATCTGGATCAAACCGTCGCAAGTCCGATTTGCATGGGCGTACGGCAGCCGGGCGCAAACGCGGAAGGGAAGACCGGCCGTGGTTACGTCGTATTGCGTCCAAAATGGCGAGATAGTCGGGTTTTGGTTCGTACCGATCACGAGCTCGCTGAACATCCGTACGGTGAGTAATCTAATCGCTATGCTCGTCGCCCGTGCCCAGACCTGTACGCAGTGCAATCACAGCGTCTGGAGGCCTGTTAACTGGGGTAAGGAGAAAATCAATACCCCGCCGCCCCTTAGACCTGGTGATCTCTCCGTCATCCTGCCGCTGAACCCGTATCGGCCTAAGTTCCATGCCCGCATGTCGTATATCTACGTGGGGGACATAGGGGAATACATAACGGTTGCCGACTGGTCCTCTAGGGTCAAAGCCCGTGTTATGAGGGTCCTTGATGACAACCTCAACTTGTCGGAGCAGGGCCTGAAACGGGCATCCGAGACGGTGTACTGGATAAGTGAGTACTTCTATCTAGTGCGATTGCAATATCCTGATGTTGTGTAGCTCAGAGTATTGCTATGTAGAATAGCAGACGTAGATTTTAGTATAATGTAGTGCACAGTCCAGGACTGGATTTGGGTGCTAGGTGAGTGTCAGGCTTGATCGCGTGCGAGCCAGGCTAATTGCAATTGAATCGCTAAGGTTGAACTGTCTAATATCGGACTGTAGGCTACACCAAGGGATGGAATCAGAGATGTGGGCAGAGATCGGAATCTCCGGTGACTCGCTAAAACGCCACACGATACAATACTCTTCTTATTGGCTGCGACTCTTCCGTCATGAAGGTAAGGCATCTCCTATCCAGGTTGCACATCGTTTCAAACCTCCATTCGCACCTAGGTAGTATTCTGTGGACCGACCAATGTGTCTCATGGTAAGTCGCAACCGTCAATGTATCTGAATGCTAACTATGCGGAAAGTCAGCCAACAGAGGCAGCCTGCTGTTGTCTGCCCACCCACCCACAGATGCACGGTGTTCGTACGTCTCACGCAAAGCGACCCTCGATAGCCCGTTCAGAGGCGCGGCACACACCCGCGAGCTCACCGGAGATGTTCTACAGTGACTACGAGGTGTGCAGCCCTTTCTACCGATCTACAAGACTTTTTACGATTTATCTTGAACTTCGCCAGCTGAACAGTGAACTTCCACCAGTTCAGCTAGCAGTTCCACTTGGCGACCTTCCACGCGGCGCAAGGCCGCCGGCGCTATTCCTCCCCTCCAGGCTCCTGGCTCTCTCCTGGAACTCCCACCCTCGACATTCGTTCTCTCCGGCTCGGGTCTGACAAAATCAACTCGAAGTCCTACGGCTCCAGCGATCCGTACACCAGCTCCACGACTGGGGACTTGCGCAACGGACGTGCAAGTTCAGCGCTGAGCGACAAGGCCATGCAGGAGGAGACGACCACGAATGAGGGATAGACAGCAGAAATTACGAAGGAGAGGGACAAGGAGGAAGAGAAAGGGAAGGAGGGGCAAGGGTGCGGCGAGAGGAAGAATGAGCTAGAAAGCTCGCGAAACAAAGGTACGCCCTCAACGGACGTACACCGCTCGCCGCCTCCATCGTCAGTGCCCACGCAAACAGGTGTTTCAGCGAACAAGGAGTTCGCTGTGCACCCTGTTCGCCATGAGAAAGGCACACATGCGAAATGGGACGACTTAACAGACAGCAGTATGACGGACACGCGCTACTGCATGTCCGGCGTACTGCACCTGTCTACGATCGACCGTCGTGCAGGTGCCGCACCGCTCGACGCACGTGCTGGCGTGCCCATCGCTGCACCTGGGGTACACCCAAGTGTACCCGGCACGGGTCACAGCTCCACGGAGTCTATGCTCACGAACGAGGAAACCGAGGTGCCATTACGGAGGCCCCGGTAGTCAGGCATCCAGTGCATATCCCCAGAGCCACACTCGCGCACGATGACATACCTGGAGGACCTCAGAGACCTACCAGGTCATTTCCATCCTTTTGTCATACCTGTCGTATTGCGATTACGCCGAGTCCACCACTCGACATAGGCATTATGACTCTATTCGGTGACGCGTGCGACGAATGCCATACTTTATTCGCGGCCGTCCCTAATGTCCCGACCTCGCACAGCGACGTACTTGGAGAGCTTCACAGCTATACAAGGTCATCCCATCTTTATTCACTGCTACGTCGAGCCGCGAGTACACCAAACTCACCGTTTGATGTATCCGTGGTAGATCCTCATCGTGATATGAGTGACGTACTCGTCGCCATCCATCCCATCCCTGCGTCGACTAACTCGACTCAATTGACTGCACCAACGTGTTATACAACGAGGGAAACGGTCATTGTACACGTGAATGGTGAGTTCATCGAGGTATGGTAATCATGCAACGGCCTGGCTAATGAGCTCAGCGTCGTCACGATGCACGACGTGTTTGGGGTGTATCCCGGCACGACCACCACGTCTCATCCCGGTGCTATTGCATATTGCACTGCGGACACGTCGAGCTCATCGTTCGACGTATCTGTTGTGTATCTTCCTCGCAATGTACTCACCGTGGATGCTCACTCTTCGAGGTCGATTCGATCGCGCACAGTTACCGCCTCGATACACGACCTGTCCGGCGTGCGATCGAGCACGACAAGCACGTCTTCTCATTCGAACACGAAGGAGATGGAGAGGGAAGGGAGCGGCGAGAACACGATCAGCGAGTAGCAAGGCTCGAAGAATGAGAGTACGCCCATGCTGGACGTACTCAGGCTATCGCCGCCGCCTATTCAAGCATCGACGCAAGAGTGCTGCACGACGAGCTCAACGCTCATCGTGGATGCTACGTGCAATCGCATTGACACGTTGGACGCATGCAAGAACGTGTCCAGCACGTCTAGTCTAGCTGAGCGGCAGGAGTTATGCAACACTCCGAAGAATGGTTCGTGTGCCGAGACATGACGGGCCTACTCAGAGCCTTCCGGAGATACCATCTCTGCCCTCCCATGTCCAGCTGACAAATCTCGGCACCACTCTCAAGAGCGGTGCATGCGCTAGACTCGACGACGCAGTCCTCGCCCGCCTGTGCCAGAATTCAACGAGCTGTGTGCTGAGCTGACTCGTATCTGCGCCCGGGAAGGGATAGGGATACGACATTGCGTCGGGTCCAGCGAGAATGAGTCAACTCTCGCAAGTTCATGCGTCGCGCGTTCAGAAATGAGCCGTGACGCCAAATATATTTTGTTTAAGTCGAAAGACGAGGTCGACATGGTCAACGACTGGCCCGACACGACCGGCGACACGCTCAACACCAAAGGTGTGCGTCACAAGCCCGCGTCGCCGGTAAGCGCTCAGAGAGCTAGCTCCCAACACACTGCACTGGACCGCCACCACTCAGCGCTCAACGTTGAACACTCGTCAGTTCAGCTAGCAGCGCGTGAAGACCCTGCAAGTGGCTCAAGACCGCCGTCTCCGTCTTCACCAGGCCATCATCTTCCGTCTGCGAGCCTCCTACCTAATCCTCTGGGTCTTGACTCTTGCACCTCACATCTCGATTCTGGCAACCTATACAGCGACTCTGGCGACCTCTACTCTGCCGTATGTGGCGCCGGCAACGTGCAACAATCTGTCCGGCCCAGGACTCCCAGCACTGAGCAACAAGGCCACGCGGAATGCAGGAAACACGAAGCGAAGAGGAGAAGAGGAGACAAGCTAGAGAGAAGAGGAAGAGGGACGCGGGGCGAGCAGGGAGAATGAGCACCAAGGCTCGATAATGCAGGTACGCCCTTGTGAGACGTCCCTGCACCACCGCCTCCGCTCCCAGTGCCCGCGCCAGCAGGCGTATCGACATACGAGAATCCCGTCGTGCGCTCTGCTGGCCACGAACAAAGCTTTCCCGCTGTCCGGGACGACCTCACGGTTGTACAAACTGCAACACACGGCGACACGTCGGACGCGCATCACTGTACGTCTGACGTGCCTGTTCTTCTGCGACCCACCGCACAGAGGGTACGTCGAGAATCCAGCTTGATGTACATGTTGTCAATGACACGTCCGGTGTACTCTATAAACTCGCAGTACTTGGCGCATCATTTAACCGTGTACACCGACCGAAGTGTACCCCACAACGGTGCACCCGGTACGCACGTCACCAGCTGCAGCACTCGTATCAGAAGGCAACACAGTGAACAACGAGCTCGCTGTGTCTCTCCGATGTCAACAATGGAGTGCTGGGCCTGTCCAGCAGCATGGACATTGTGCTCGCTGCTCTCACTTCGCAAGACGCGCGCCCGGAGGGCCTCTTAGCTCTACCGGGCTACCTGTTAAATAATTCCATCTCTCTATCATCGCACACTGTGGATACGCCGAGCCCGCCGCTCGATGTACCCGACGCTGCTTTCTCTCTGAGTGCGCAAGATGCAAGCACGCCCGTGCTCGCCGCAACCCATCACGCCTCCATATTGCATAGCGGTGCGCACGGTGAACTTCCTAGTTCTACCGGACCATCTCACTTTACCCCTGTTCCACCGCATGCAGCGACTACGTCGAGTTGCTTGACGTATACGCTACTGTGATCTCCAGGTAGTCTCTTATGATGCGCGCGACACATGTCTCGTCGCGGCCCCTCGCACTGTCATCTATGCGCATTCTCACGCCTATGTGGATGGTACAGCGAACAACGAGATTGCTGCGCCAGCCGTCAACGAAATTTTGGGGCCACAGGATACGCGCGACGAGTTGGATAACGAGTCCAGCAGCGTCACAACGCACAACGTGTTCGGCGTGCCCTCGAGCATGACCAACACATCCTTTACTTCTCTGAAAATACCCGCATCCCATGTGAAAAGTACGTCGAGCTCAAGGCTCGACGTGCTGCCCACTGGCAAACCGCGTACCATGAGGAAGGCACAATCTGACGTGCCCATTGCAGTGTTTGAAGTCCTAGTACCGGGCATGTCGAGCAGAAGCTTACTGGACATACCTCAAACAGGTACAATTCAATCTTCAACGTCGAAGGAGAGGCGCGGCAAGAGCGCAATGTTCAAGCAAGAATCAATGAGCAAGGCTGGACGTTAATCGGAGGTACCCAGTTCGCAACTGGGACATCCACCCGCGTCGCCCCTGCTCTCCCTATCCCACAGCCGAAGTGCTACACGGTCACGGACTCACGGTGCACACAAGAGCATACCGATCACGTACATCGCCGATGCTACGTCCTGCAACACAGTGGGAGTGCGATTGGGCACTACTGGCGTGTTAACAAGACTGGACCTTGCGACCAGGTGTCCGCCGACGTGCCCAGAAGCACGGCGGCCTCGGCCACTCCAACAAGGCGGAAGACCAACCCGGTAAACGCTCCGTCAAGCAACGCAGTCAGCGTGCGATCGAGCTCAATCGGCGCGCCTTTCTCCTCCGTCGAAACGCTATCGCCGAGCCCAGCGATGCCCCAACTCTCTTGATCCCGAGAGTTGGTCGGGTCTCACAGTCCTCTTGACCAACTTGCTGTATATATAGCCCTATTTACGGTGTACTAACAGCTCTGTGAATTGCAGAATGAAGCTTGGGGCACTCAGCTACTCGTAGTACTGACCAACTCTGGGGATCAAGAGAGTCGGGGCAAATACGGTACAACAGAGACATGACACAACGCGCCGTGCCGTGCCATACCGTACCGTGCCATGACATGCCATGCCACACCGTCACATGACACGACACAACGCACGACACGATTTGACACGACCTGCCGCGACATGACTTGACGCGACGCGACGCGACTCGACGCGCCTTGCTGCCACCGTGCATTGTGCCACTAGTATTACGTAATTCCTTTCAGCGAGGCTTTGAGCTCCGAGTGTGGCAGCACCTGCACTTATTGTCCTCAGCCACTTATTGTCGAGAAAGCACGGATAGATGCATTGTGCTGACTGGTCACAATGTCACTCATAACCAGCACGTACACTTTAGGGCGCCTACGCGATCCCGCCCAAGGCATCCCTGAGGCAGGATTTCCTGGCTACATTCAGGCAAAACGGGCATGTCAGCGACAACGGGAATCCTGGGAAGAGAACAGCTATGGGAAACAGTACCTGTGTAATGGGAGAAATGGGCAGCAACAGCTCGGGCGCCTTCTGCTCGCCTGCACCTACAGAATACTTGCCTGAGGTGTCCCTGAGGTGGGATTCCCGCACAAAATGGGCATCACACAGTGGGAGCATACCTAAGTAGCTACAGGCAATAAATGGGAAGCATGAGTAACAGGAAATACAAGACACATCATGACTGGGAGATCAGGACATGTCAATAACAGGAAAGCAAATCCAGATCACATGTCAGTAATGGGAAGTAGTAAGCACTGGGAAAATATACATCAATAATCAAAAGAGTAACAGGCAGCACTGCTGAATGAATCAAATGTCGCCAGCCCGTGGTCCGCCACGGGCTGGCATTGCATTGGCATTTCACCTGAAAAGTAACATGGAGCATAGAATGAAAGGCCTACCGCCAGACCTGTGGTGAAGCCCAGGTCTGGCATGCATTGGCATTGTAATACTATGGATGACATGAAGCAGTGAATGAAGAACTGCATTGGCAATCCGTGGCAAAGGTTGTGAAATGAAATGAATTGATGTCAAAGGTGTATGGGTCACGTGTCAACTAAGTAGCAATTCTTACACAATAAGTAAGTTGCAAGCTGTTGTAAGTGTAAGTATTTTTCCACAATAACAACCATCATACTCAGTGATCATAAGGAGAGTTGCAGACTGATAGGTGCAGACATAGGTGATCTACCTCCAGCCAGTGCAAATGCGGGTACACGAGCAACAAAATAGGAACTCTTACCCGTACTGGCGCACTCTGCGTGAGTGCGGGTAAATCATGCAAACAAAAGAGACACGTCTACCCGCACTCGCGCCGAGTGCGCGAATGCGGGATAATAATTGCATGGAGAAGAAGACTCACCGCCGCAGGAGACGATCCCCAAGTCAACTGGACTGCACGCAGAGACGCCATGATCGGCTCTCGTTCCGCCCCGCGACACGGCCAGGATTCTGCCTTGATGCGGACTGCACCAGACTCGACCAAGGCGAAGTGAAATATGTGAGGGTGAAAGACAGGCAAAGAGTCCCACAAGAGACCACGAGAGATCAGGAGCTGATCCATGAGGGACGTCATGAGGACCTTGCCGCTGCCAGTGTATGCGTATGCAAGGCATCGCTCCAGAAGGGCCACCAGCTCAATTTGCGTGGGCGGGATGATGTTCCGCTCGCGCAGGAATTGGCTAAAGTCCTCGAAGAGCTCCACCAGCAGGCACGATATGGGGAAGGTGGTCCAATGATACACAGCAGGAAATACCTGTCACACACAGGTCAGACTGCTAGCAGCACTGGCAGATAAAAGAAATTGGAGACGTACTTTTGGTTCAAAGACCACAAGGTGCTCTCGCAAGGGCAGCTGGATGTCGGGGCTGAGCGTTCGTGCGATGAGCTGGATGATGATGTTCTGATACAACACCCTGGTGAACATTGAGGTCAGCCCAGTAAATCACACAGTGCCGCATAACACGAACGTACTCTCCGGTTCGCATATCAGGTGGAAGGTTGTCAAAGTTGACCACGAACATGTTCTCCAGTCGCAGGTCGCGTGCGACGCTCTCATCCATCAGCACAAGTAATAACTGAAAGGTGATGGGTCAGCCGCACATTCCATGCATGCATACTGATTCAACCCGCACTGGCGCTGGCAGCGCCAACGCGGGTGTGCTATACCACATATGTGACCTGTTACCCGCACTCGCGCTGGTGACGCGAATGGGGGTAGAGACAGTACAATAATTGTACGCATTGTTACCCCCATTCGCGTCACCAGCGCGAGTGCGGGTAACAGGTCACATATGTGGTATAGCACACCCGCGTTGGCGCTGCCAGCGCCAGTGCGGGTTGAATCAGTATGCATGCATGGAATGTGCTGACCCGCATCCGTGCTGGCGCACGGATGAGGGTAAAACACTACCACAACACGAGAATTTATGTACGGTTACCCGCACTCGCGCTGCAGCGCGAGTGCGGGTAACCGTTTCGGACATCCGTCCTTTACCCGCAATGGCGCGTGTAGCGCGAGTGTGGGTAAGAAATGTAAGAAGATGGGTGGTCCCCATGTGCAGAGGTCCAGTTTTTTGTGAAAACCTCGCCCTGACCCCGCCCTGACCCCGAACATTGGTCGAAAATCCCCTATAATCGCCATCATCCTGGTCTCCAAGCCCATCCCAGTCAAACGGAGCAGCAACGTCGCTGCCGTCGCCGGGGTCAGACGACTGCGGTGGCGGTGTCAAGGGATCCCAGATGCTGCCTAGGACCGGGCTCGGTGTTAGCCTGAACATCGCGGCATCCAGCTCATCCTGCTCAGCAGCAGCGGAAACGGTGTCGCCGGACGGTGACGCAGGCTCATCACCATCATCCTGCTGGACCAACTCCTGCTCCTCGTCAAAGATGGGGCCGGTGTCCTGATCGGCGAAGGCTGCGGCTGCACGACGCTCTCGGCGACGCTGTCTCTCTTCATGTTGCAGTCGTGCCGTACCCTCTCCGTCGTCGTTTGACACGCTGAACATCTCGTGGATCCGCCGGAGATCGAGGAGCAGGCCGCAGCCAGGGCCTGTGAGGTTGTACGCGTCCACACGCCTGCGCGACACCAGGGCCCCTTTCTTGTCGTAGAGCGGGATCTCCATGCCGTTCTCGTCGAAGATGGGGAACGTGTCCAGGTCGACGGGCGGGTTGTCCTTGCCGGGAATGTAGTGCTCGTACAGCGCCTCATACTTCCTGATCAACGCGTCGTTCGACACGACCTCGTACTCCTCGACCTGGTGTACTCTAAGGGTGCGCGCACCCATGTCAGCTGTGCGCAGCGGATGTAATAATAATGGTGTACTTACTGGATCTCGGAGGCGATCGCCATGCTCACGTACTTCAAGTGGGACCAGGTGCGCATCTGGTCCCACTGACCCGCCTCGTGGTGGAGCTGGTATTGGACACCGATCGGCGTGTTCTGCCCATAGCGGCACGAGATGATGATGGGCTTGTGATGTACGAAGAACTTGTCTGCCTTCCACGCCGCTGGCATCTCCTCGACGAACTTCGACCACTCGTCCGCGAAGATGTCGTCGATCTCCTGCACGTTCTTCAGGTTCAAATCAATGCTGGCGTGCTCGCTAAGAAGATCGAGGGGTGAGTGCACGTCGTTTGAAAAAGGGCCAATTTAGGTGATCGCGCGCGATCGCGCGCGATCACCTATTTCGACTGTTTTCGCGACTCACAATACGTTACAAATATCTTGGATGTCCCACCCCGCGCGCAGATCCTGCGACTTGCCAAACGGATAGTTTCGGAGGATCGTCAGGCCGCTCCAGCCGATGCTCTCGAGGAGACGGCAGACAAAGAGCTGCCAGACTTTGAAGTGCTCCGGAGACAGACGAGTGTTGCCCTTTTTGATGCCATATGCGGACAGCGGAAGGGGCGCCTCGCTGTCGCTCTCGCCAACCTCGTCGTCAAAGAAGGACACGGGGACGAACACCCCCCACAGCTCCTCAATGCCGTATTTACCAAACATCACGCACCGGCCCGACGGGTCGCAACCGAGCTTGCCGTGCTTCGTCATCCGCAGTATCTTGTAACCCTGGCGCAGCTCGAGTTTGACACTGTAGTTGTGGTGCGCAGGCACCGTCGGCAGACACACCGCCATCCCTTGCTTCCCGGGGACGCAGGACAGGAAATCGAGGAAGTGATGGTCAATGTGCCAGTACAGCGACGGATCAGAGTTCGGGATGATGTACTCGTCGTCTACCTTCACCACCGTGCGCTTCTTCAGGAGGTTCGTCGCGAACTGCCTGTTCCGTGGTGTGTTGTGCTCCTGGAACTTGCGCAGCGTCGACACCTTCACCGTCTGCCGTGGGCATTCTCGCCACTTGTTCTCCTCCCAGCTCGCCGGACGGAACGTGCCGTCCATCTGTTGACTCAGGGCCTCGCGCGTACGGATACCTTGCCTGACATCATCCTGACTCGCCGAGCCATCCTCCGCCGCAATGCTATCCGGAAGCGCATCCAGACTGAACGGGCCCGTGTTACCTTCCAGCGTGGACGACAGCTCTTCGCGCGCACGTCTGCCCGTGTGCAGTCATCCGTCAGCCGTACGCAACAACTCATCAGACTGACCAGGCTGCACTTACTCATTCATGTCGTCAGTGCTCGCGAGGTGCAACAGGACCTCGTGTGGATCCATGTCTGCCGGAGGGACCGGGTTGACGATGATGGCCACATCATCATCGCTGCGCTTGACCGTTAGCGGCGTCCGAGGTGCAAGAGAAGTATTTAAAACGCACCTGTCCTCGGGACCGGACTGATCACCGTCAGTTCCAGCCTGCGACGCTACCCGTGACGGTGCCTGCGACGCAACCCGCGACGGTGCCCGCGATGCCACCCGCGACGGTGCCCGTGAAGCTACCCGTGATGGAGCCCGCGACGCTGCCTGTGACGGTGCCCGCAACGGTCCAGCACCAGCCGGCGCTCTTGAAGCAGCCACCGTCGAACTCGCGCATGATCCTGTGGCCGGGTGTGACGGACCAGCAGATGGACGAGATGGACCAGTGGATGGACGAGATGGACCGCCTGATAAACGAGACGGACCAGCGATCGGACGAGATGGACCGGCCGACGGACGAGAAGGCCCAGCCGACTGCCAGGATGGACCAGCAATGGGCCATGCCGGAAAATCAAATGACCTTGAGGGACCGGCGATGGGCGGCGAGGATGGAACGGCAACGGGCTCAGACGGTCCAGCAGAGGGACGCACACTGCGCCGTGACGAGGCACCCCGTGCAGAAGGTGCAGCACTCCCTCGTCGTCTCTGCGGCTGTGACGACGCAGGCGTTGCCCGCCGGGAGCTCGCTGACGGAGGGGGTGGACGACGAGAGGCCATGATGAATGATAGTGGCAGTCAGCCTTGAGCAGTAGTCGACTCACACTATATACGTCTCACCGTTTGAAACATGACCCGCCTCGTGTGCGCACGCATGCTGGGCGAGAACGCTCTCGAACGGAATCGTGCACAAAGCTGTGCGCGCACATCGGCCACGCCGCTGCTCAATCAGGAATAGCACTCACCGGCCGGCACGAAGAAGCCACATTGCGTGCGACGTCGCAGCTCTCCCTGTGCGCGCACCCAGTATCATCATAAAATCATGCATGTCATTCAAGCGGTGCAATATGTAATACAAGACGATGCGTCGACGGCGGCAAGACGTATGTGAGCAGCGGGGTTAGAGAGACATAGGTAGTAGTACAAAGATGGGAGACCCGTTGTGCTGACCGATCACATCCGAGTTTGCGTGTTGACGTCGCTGAACACGTCCTTCGGAGCGCCACTGTCGCGGGCACGAGTTGATGGACCAGGGCGAGCCGCACTACCGCTGGCAGCGCGGGGTGTATTCAGCCTCTGGCGCGTGCTGGCACTGCCGGACGAGCCACTGGACGCAGCTGACGTGGATCGCAGCTTCGACTTGGGAACCGAGCCAGGCGTTGCGGCCCGACTGCTGCTCGTGCTCGAAGCACGGGAGGACGACTGCTGGCGGTTCCGTAGGCTGCGCGTCGCCGGAGCTGGTGCCGGCACATTGCCAGCAGCGGGACGCTTGCCGGCCGCCTTGCTCAGGGCCGGCTGGCTCGCCTCCGGTTCACGCTCGACCTCGTCCACGGTGTCAGTCGGCTCTCCACCAGCGTTGGCCAGGGCCTCCGTGATACGCTCGGACTCCTGGAGCGCGATAGTCTTCTGGATCATCGCTAGTAAGCCGGCGCACTCGTCAGAACACCGTCCAGTACCGCAAGACACAAAAAACACCTACCTGCGTACGTCTTCTCAATTTGCTTGTACCGTTTGATGGAAAACTTGAGAGAGTCGATCGCCACTGGACTGGTATTCGGGTATTGCTTCGACAGCTGCCCGTCGCGCATGAACGACGACCGGTCGTCTACCTTCTCCAGGAGGTCCTGCAGGCGCAGACGGCGGATCTTGCTGTGCTGTAACTGTCGCGACGCCCAGTCGCCGAAGTCGTCCGTCCCTGGCTGCAACCAATGAGGCTTCTCTGGCGGTTTCGGGAACGGGAGCTTGTCCTGTTCGTCCCAATGTTCAACCTCCTCCGGGAATCCGTACAGTGACGCCCGCTCATCGAACGTTACCGCGTTCTCGGATCCGATCTGTGACGGGGGTGGCGACCACACAGATGCCAGAGACGGTGGCGGTGACGACTGGGACTCTGCGTACGAGATATGACACAAGGTCATCAGTCTCGAGATGTCGATCACCTCCACAATAGATGCGCCAGTGTTTCCCGCAGCGTGCCGTATGCGTGCTGTGTTGCGAGTATGAGAAGAGTATAACGAGACGCCAGACTCACGCACCAAGTATGCCAACAATGACCGCATCATGGAACTCGGGCAGTTTCAGATTGAGGACGTTCTTGTCGGCCACGAAGCATGCGCGATCGCGAGCGAGGTACGCATAGCCGAGGATGGCGCGCCAGAACCCTGTCTCTGTACCCCTCCCCAAATCTTTGATCTCCTCCTCGCTCACCTCGTACGTCGCGACGTCCACAGTCAGTTGGGTATTGCTGCCCTCGCCGAAGTATCGCTGAAGATCTCGACGGGCCTGCACCGGTGTGCGCGATTTCACGTGCTTGTTTGACGGGGCTGACATAGGAGGCCACATGCTGTGGATGATGTACACGGCCGGGAAGTGGTAACTGCCCGTCACCTCTGTACAATGATGAGTATACGCCCACGCACCCTACAAACATGCATCGCACTCACCGCCGTTCTCGTTGAGGAAGTCTGAAATGCATGTCAGCAAAGTGCTCAAATAATAGGTGATCGCGCGCGATCACCCTGCAAATGGTACATGACTGGCACTCAAAACACGCGTTTTAGGTGATCGCGCGCTATAGCGCGCGATCACCAAAACCACCCTATTTGCGACCCGTGGGACGCGTTGAAACATGCCATTTTAGGTGATCGCGCGCTATAGCGCGCGATCACTAAAACCCGTGTTTTCTGACACCAGCAGGTGCGCGCACCCCGCACAAGGGTGCGCAGTGCCTAAAATATCACGATTTAGGTGATCGCGCGCTATAGCGCGCGATCACCTATTTTGACCCTTTTGAGCAGACTTACTGATGCGTTCCGTGCCGGCGAAGTAGGCCATCCCTATACATACGCGCAGGATCTGCGAGATCACATACTGGTGGTACGGTGTGGGTTTCGCAAAGATCGGGATGGACTTGCCCGGCAGTTCCAGTATCTCCAGTTCCAGTAAGAAGGACAGGGCGATGACGACGGCTTCACAGTGCAGCACGCGCAGGTTGGCATCAGCAACCTGGACAAGGAGAGGTTCGTTTTCCAACATGCCAGGCAGTGGATAGATGCCGAGAAAACGCAACAGGGCGATCTGGTAGGGCCGTGTCAGCGTATCCTCGTCCAGCTCGGCTCCCGCAAGGCAGTGATCAAGGAACCCGATGACGTCGACGGCCATGGCCTGTGCGCTCTGGTAGACGTGCGCGCGCTCGTCGACCTTTGCACGCTTGCTCTCCCGCGCCCGTTTCGGACTCACCATCGGAGACGTCAGCCTACGCTTGCTCCTCTGGTTCAGCGGCGGGGGTGACTGCGTCTGCCGGCCTGCCAACCCAAGATGCGAAGCCAGCATGCTGTGGGTCACCGTCGCGCCGTTGTCGACCTCTTCTTCCTCCTCTACTACCACTGGGAGCTCGTCGTCCACCTGCATCGCATCGTCGTCGCCACCGTCAGTCAAGGCTTGGGGCACCTCGTCTTCCTCCTGCTCGTCGTCGTGGGTGCGCGCACCCTTGGTGACCTTCTTCTCGACATCCTCATCGTCGTCTGTGGGCTCCCACTCGGTGTGCGTTAGATGCCCTTCGTCCACGAGCATCTGGAGCAGCGACTGCACGACATCCTTGTTACGCGTGCTAGAAGGCTGGTCACGCACATGCTTGACGAGGGCAGGCAGCAAGGCCTCGACTCTCTCGTTCATGCGCGACTGGACCTCATGGTCCATGTCTTCTATGTACGCCAGAGGACGCTTGAGAACCTGCTTGAACAAATCTTGGCGCGTCGCATACTGTTTCGTCAGCCGCCGCGTGACCCGGTCCTTGTCAGCGTCGGGTTGGATGTCAACATCGAACCCCAGCGCCGTCATCAGCACATCCTCGACGTCTTCCATCGTCGTCGTGAGTGGCGGATCCTGATCCATCGCCGCCGAAACGTCGGCCCAGAACGGGTAATACGCGAGCGGGTCAACCGTGCCTGGCCGATCGCTGGTGGTAGGAAGCGGTGTCCATGCGTACATCTGATCTTTGCGGTCGTCTTCCTCGTCGTCGCTTTGATCATCCCGTCGAACACGCTTGGGGTTCGCCCGCTCCGTCATACGATGCCGCAAAAACTCGCTCGTCTGGGGGTGCGCGCACACGTCAGTGTTGCACACAACATTAATAATTATTAAGCAACGTACGTTCCACAGGTGAAGCATCGTCCCCTTCGCCATCTGGTCAAGCGACTCGCCCATCTTCTTGCCCTTGACGGCACCGTCCGTGGAGTCGCTGTACTGGAACGCAGGCAGCTTGCGGAGCGACTCGAGTATCCTCGCGATCTGCGTGTTGTGATGCGAGACCGCGGTGGCCATCGCAGAAGCCTTCCCAGCCCGTCCTGTTGCAGGTGCGGCCACCGCACCTGGTGCTGGCACCGGCGCGTTCAAGGTGAACGGCGACGACGATGGGCCGGCGACCGCGTTTGCCTGCTGCTGCTGCTGCTGCTGTGGTTGACGACCTTGTCCAGGTGCAGGGATTTTGCCCGCGAATGCACGCTGCAATTCAGAGTTTGCAATGAGACTCGCAGTGTTCTGCTCCGTGGTCGACGGTTCGCCCTTGGTGAACCACTCCGGGTCCGCGTGCGCACCGGTCCCATCCTCTGACGGCTTCCACGATTTGTCCGGCCTCACAATGTCCCACCACTCGTGGACCGGAATGACCTTGAAGCGGCACAGGAGGGCTGCGTACCTCGCTCGGCCCTGAGCAATTCCCAGTGTCCACCAGCTACCTCCGCGCCCGTACATCAGCAGGACTGCCGCCGTCTCCACCGTCGCTGCAGCGAGGACAGGGACGAGCGAGCGAGCACCAACCTTGACTGTGGTGTTTGCACCCTCGACGACTGGCAGCGCAGTGCGCATGAGTGCGCGCATGCCGAGCATGTCTAGCGAGAGACCGGACAGGTGCTGGAGTGCATCGCTCCGTTGATTGACAATCGCGTTCGACAGAGACTTGGTGTTCTGCGTGCACGCCTGGATGTGCTTGGCCATGTCAAAGTCCGGGAACAACTCGTTCAGCGCAGACTCCTTCATCATGCTCACCGCCTCTGCCGTGCGCTCAGCGGGGTTGCCCTTGCTCTTCTCCGAGTACACAATGAACGCCTCTCTGATCGTCTTCTTTGAGTGTCTGCGGAAGTTGTTGACGGCCGCTACTTCCGTCGACGCTTCGTGCAGCAGTGCGACAAACGTGTGTCGATCAGCGAACCATTCTCGCGCGAGCTGCAGGCAAATAACTCAGCCTCGAGATGCACCATCCACAAGTTCAACTCACCTCCCACTGCACACTGTCCGGACGGTCCCAGTCGCCTGCGCCAGACTTGAGATCTTTGTAGTTGCCAACACTATAGAGCGCGCAGACGGTCGCATCCACGGTGATGTCGTGAGTGGTTATGCCCGTGCCGGTGCCGGCGCCGCTGGTCCCACAGAAGGACCGATGATACATGAGCGGCTCGAACATCCACGCAAGCTATAAAAGAAAAGTAAGCACACATATAGGGGTGCGCGCAGGTCACGCAGCAGTGTGCGCGCACTCACCCTCTCCCATCCCCGCTCGTACAATGAGCATTGTTCCCGGACCATCCGCATCGGCGTCGCGGTCAGCAACGGCAGAGCAGGGATAAACTCCATGTCGCCCTTGATGTACGTCCAGCCGTAGTACAAGAACGTGATGCGCCCCATGACATAGTCCAGGTGCGACAGGCGCCGCTGCTGCGTGCTGCGTGGCCCCTCGTTGTCGTTGTCGTCGTCGTCGGCACCAGGGACGGATGACCCCATCATGAGTTGGATCTGCGCCACCAGCGCGTTACCGTACTCGGCCATCGTGTCAAAAGCCTGCCTCGAGCGCACGCCCAAAACATTTGAACTGGAAAGAACATCAAGCGCCGCACGGTCGACAGTCCTGAGCATGCCATCTGTCCAAAGGCCAGGACAGGGCTTCGCACCCCCTGTGTGAAACTCGTGTTTCAACGCCGTGTACTTTCGTGAGATGATCGACGGTATGGTCCCATCGGGTTCTTCCAACAGATCCAGGTTCGTCTGCGCCTGGAGAAACTCCTGGGCCCGCTCGGTGTCGCCGTTCGTCTTCATCTCCAAGTATCTGTGACGTGCGCGCCGGGCCTCATCGTACCGCGAACATATCGACTCCACATCCTGCGTGGTGGAGAACGAAGCCTTTGAGCTGACGATGTCCATCAGCCAGCGCATGCGCCGCAGATTGAATACAATGACCTGCGCGCACCATCATGAACAACCGACAGCCGAGCGTGACAATGAAGACACTCACCCCGCCGGCCGGCTTCAGGATCTTCATCCATGTCTGGTGGCTGAAAAAGTCAGTGTCATAATAATACTGTACCTTTCTCTCCTCTTTCATTTCGCCAATGATCGGTGTCAGCGACATGAGGAAGTCGCACACCGGCGTGACGTAGAACATGTTCGTGTGCATCGTTTTGATGTGACTGCCAGTGGCAGCAGTGCCCTTCGTTGTCGTCGTCGCCGTGCCTAAGCGTAGCTCCTTCACCACGGATCCGCGGCGGGCCAAGTAGTCGGGGAGGCGGCCATCACGCTTCAACTTGAACAGCTCACGGAAGTGCGTCCGCAAGAGATCCTCACTGGTCTCGACCTTGTGAGCCCAGCCGATGTTCTGCGCGAGCCGTTCCGCCGCCGCACCGTTACCAAGTTTTTCTGTGTGTGTGTGTGTGTGTCAAAGTGTGAGTGGGTGTGCGCAAGGGGTGCGCGCACACACTTACCCATGATGGATACTCTTGCCAGCCAGCACCCCTGCCGGCGAAGCCGATCCCCTAGTCTCTGACACCGCGCTACCAGCCGATTGTACTGACCATTGCTGGGATCCATGTTCTCCAAACGCGCCTTCGCCGTCTCCAACTCGGTTACCTGTGGCTCGAGGAAGGCGATGCTCGCAGCGATGCGATGTTGTCCGGTAATGACGTACACCGGACTGGGCGATCCGTCAGGTCGAGGCTTCAACTTCAAGAAATCGAGGTCGAGAGGAAGCATCTGGTTGTGCTTGGTTGTGAAATCGATGTCGTCCCACCTGACCGCAACTTCGATGCAGTGCCCGCACAGGAGGCTCTGGTATCCGTCATCCACAAACGACTTGCGGATCTTCTCGACGTGGTTGTCGTCGATCTTGCGGCTGTTGAACTGCTGTTGCACTACTTCGACATGGTCCTCTTGTTGCAGAGATGGGAGGGTTGCGAGCCGCGCGTAACCGTGGTACGCATCTGCGAGAGTCTTTTGATACTCTAGAAATAGTTCCTGCGTGATGTTCTGGTTCTGAGCATGAGGATCAGCAATCGGCCGGCGCTGTGCATGCCGTCGCACTCGTTGTGGAACGCACCTTGTTCGTCTCCTCGTCTTCCGAACTCTCGTCCTCTGCTGGCTGTTTTCCACGAGCGCGCGTCGACGTCGATACGGGCGGTTGTGCCGTCTCTTCGGGCTCCGACAAACCATCAGCCTCAGAATCCTCAGCCGGCGCAGCCTCGACAGACTGCTTCTTGGTCGTTTTCCTCTTTCTAGGCGGCATGTTGATCTGAGGGTGCAGGTGAGACGGGCGCTGGACAGAGAGCGGTGAAATACGTACAGTGAGGACGGGGTGCAAGTGCAAGGGGGAGAGAGGCGTCGTGTGTGCAGAGATAGGTTGAGGATGCCTCATGTTTGCCACATGGTCGGTCTTGTCACCTGATGTGCAGCGGAATAGGTGCGTACAATGTGCGCACATAAAACATGTGTGTACACTATACATACAATGATCAGCGTAGGATAAAACATGACATACGAGCCCACCTAGGAATACCAATGGTGGGTGCCAGACTGCACGCACCCCACCCCTACATTTAGGTGAACGTGCGCGACCGCGCGCGATCACCTGTGATAGCAGTATATGTCATCATCGAGGACATATACAGACTGTCATAGGAGACACTCGCAGATGCGTACGTCGACTGTGACTGTAGAGGCAATTTACCCTTGATTTAGGTGATCGCGCGCGGTCGCGCGCGATCACCTTATACGCCCTTTTTCGTGGTTAAAATGAGGGATATAAATCATACTATTTACCTGCCAAAAAGGTGATCGCGCGCGACCGCGCGCGATCACCTAAATCAAGGGTTTTGAGGGGTGTGTGGGTGCACGTACCTTTGGTGGGTGCGTCAGACGTGCGCGCACCCTACTATACTCTGAAAATAGGCTGTTTTAGGTGATCGCGCGTGGTAGCGCGCGATCACCTAAAACAGGGGGTTTCGTGGGTGTCAGATGCGTATTTGAGAGGTGCGCGCGCCCCATATACCTGTGCGGGAACACGTCTGGAGGGTGATCGCGCGCGACCGCGCGCGATCACCTATTTGGCAGGTAAATGGGTAGGTTATCCCCTTGTTTAGACACCCACAAAGGAGGGTATAAGGTGATCGCGCGCGGTCGCGCGCGATCACCTAAATTGGGGGTTTGGACTCACCTTTAACAGACTGTTCGTGAGAGGTACAGCTGTAGGGTGGACGCGCGCGACCACGCACGTCCACCCTGGTGGGGACAATCAACTATTTACCATGCCTGGTACACGCATTTATATACAACTTTAATGGAATGATACACTTCCACGAGCCTCTACAGAAGGTCTGCCTCCTATTCTCCGCGGCGACGCTTCATACCTATGCCACAAGGTCGTTAGCGTTAGCCCGCAGTCAGTGCACGTCTGCGCACCTGCCCTTGCACCTCCAGAACTTGCCGGGGTGCGGGTGCGCGCACGGTTGGAAGGTGCGCGCACCACCGTTGCACTCGCAGTGCGGCGCGAGGCAGCATGTGTGAGAGGAGACTAGAATTGATCAGCGCACCGTACGAATGCCAAGGAACAATGTGCACTCACTCCGAAGGAGCAACCCTTCTTGCGTGCACGACAAGTGACGCAGCGCGGGTCGTTTGCGACGGCCGGAACCCGGCATTCCTCCATGCCGCTCTCAGTGCAGCGCTCGCACCGGTCGCGGCCGCAGTTCTGTGGTGTGCGCATCAGATAATTGTCAGCGGGCAATATACGATTGCACTTACCACGGTGTCCTGCGACTGCGGCGGGACATTGAGAGGACGTGCCCATGTGGACAGAGGGATCGGGTGTGCCATCGCGGCGGGCGCACGGCCCTTCGCCTTCCAGGCGAGGTAGATCTCCGCCTGGCGCTGCGCCTTCCTGCAGTCCTCGCCGGTCACACGCCCCAAGTTGAGCTCGTATCCTTCGGTGCGCGGATCGTCCTCGTCTTCATGATCTTGGACCGGCGTCGCAGCTGTAGAGGTGCGTGGCTCGTCAGACGACTCCGTGTAAGTACGTAGACACTTACGATTGAGCCGGTCATTGCCTGAGATGGGGTGCGCGCAGTCAGACACAGGTGCGCGCACGTAGAAAAGAGACACTTACTGAGCCAGATGTCCGCGAACGGCCTCATGGCGGCCTCCTGATCCACGACCGACCACCTCTTGCCCCACCACTTGGGCTTGCGGTTGCGCCAGCCGGTTGCGAATGTTTTGAAGTCCAGGCCCTCCTGCCATGCGCCCTCCGCCGGCGCGTCCCACCACTGCCAATCAAAGCAGGTGTCGGCGAGGTGAGGGAACTTCTTCGCCATCGGTACGTAGTTCAGTTGCTTGCGCCATTTCTTCGTCTTCACATCGCAGGTCAGTCCCCCGCTCACATCGCATGCAATAGTCCACTCACCAGGAGGTACGTCGCGACGATCTTCTCAAATACCCTGAACGACACCGGGCTGTTGTACAGCGCCCGGAGCGTCCTGTTGAAGAGCATCAAGTCCTCCTCCGTCCAGTCGTCCCATCGCGGCGGGTGGTCCGTGAAGATGAGCAAGTCCCGCTCGCTCACATGGTGCCCGGCCTCGAGGGCGACCTTGCGCAGGTATTTGCGCAGTCTCTTCATGCCCCAGGTACCGACCATTTTTGCAGGGTGTCGAGGAAGTGCAGGAGTGAGTGTAAGAAGCAGGGGGGAGAGGAAGTGCGACGAGTGTGAGTGAGAGAGGGAGATGCGCGCGAGAGTGAGCGAGCAGCCACAACGGCGTCTAAGTCTCAGCCACAGGCCACGGCGCTAAGTTGGCCAACGCGACGCGCCGACCACTGGTCATCTGACCGTATGCGCCGTGAACGCTCAAGTGTTTGGCCTGCGCTCTAGGTAACAGTGCGCACATTGTTTCTTACCATGCGCGCATTGTTGATTGCCGTGCGCGCGGTGTTTTTGACCGTGCGCGCGGTGTTTTTGACCGTGCGTGCAGTGTTTATGACCGTGCGCGATAGCATGTGGCACTCACCGAGTTTGGTGCGGGCACCTTTGTGAGACTTACCTCTGGCCGTATGAGTGTGTCCGACCGTGAGTAAGACCGTTCTGCACGCATTGCAAAGGATATACAAACATAACTACATGACTGACCATCTGAGAGCATATTACTGGGTGTTCAACATTGAGAATGCAATTTGCTTACCACTGCTGGTAAAATTCGACCTGCGCATTGAACCACGCAAGGCGTCTCGTGAGAATGTCGACGCTCTTCGAGACGTCCTCGGGTGACGGCCCACCTCCCCGGTATGTGTGGTCATTGACCCCGTTCAATGTCACACGCTCCGACTGTAGACGGAGATATACGTGCTGACAGTGAAGGGCCTGGCGCGCACGCCATACCCGTTGAGCAATGCTGTCACGGACAACACCAGGTGGCTCGGCATCGCGACAGGCTTCTGCGACCCAGATTGCTTGTCCCAAAATTCAATCTCCTCGGGGTGCGCAAAGAGCGATGTAAGTTGCCCGATGGGGAGCGTGTATGGAGCGTCCGGAATCGCTCTATCCCTTGGGAGATCGATTTCGAGCCAGATGGGTGGCGGGCGCTCACAGCGGATATGGAGTTTCTCTGCAACTTTTCAGATAGGTCCCATAATACTAGATAGAGAGAGGGGTGCGCGCACCGTGGATCATGGGTAGTAGTGCGCGAAGATGACCGAGCCAGCGGTCAACCCAAACGTCAATTTCTTCATCGAATTCGATTTCACGATCAATGCGCAATTGCCGCTCTTGGAGAAGA